GATGCATTTCATAATTTCCTGCATGATACTGATAGTGATGGTGGTGATGGTGATGATGATGATGGTGGTGATGGCGATGATAATGGTGATGGTGATGGTGGTGATGGTGATGGTGGTGATGATGGTGATGGTGATGATGATGGTGATGATGGTAGTGATGGCGATGATCATGGTGATGGTGATGGTGGGGATGGTGATGAAGGTGATCATGATGGTGATGGTGATGATAGTGGTGATGCTGGTGGTGGTGATAGTGATGACTACAATAATGACAGTGATCATGATGGTGATGCACTGATAAACTATCATTGATAATTTTCTCTGCTCCAAAAACATTGTCAACAGCCTATTTTTCTTATCTAGATTGAAACCTCAACATTATCACTCCACGAGAAATGATGGCCTGTTTTGTTTCTATCAGACTATGCCACTTAAAATATATACTCGTATAACGTGGTTGACGCTGTATATGTCACTTGAATAGAGGATTATTAAGTGTTTGGATTTATCCAAAATAGTATATCAGTTATGTTTAGATTTTACAATAGAAAAAGGAATGGTCCTAATAGATTGCCTGTGTGGTCTGGGGACTCTGTTGTGTGTTGCAGAAGACAGTGAAGCCATGTTAGTAAAACATTTAGGAAAAGTTGAAAAGCTTTTCAGGGTTTCTATTGTATTAATTTATTTATTTAGCAAATATGTATTGAGTTCTTTTCGTGTCCCAGGCCTTGCTGAGTATAAAATAGTAGACAAGGTATTTTCCCTACAGAACGTACTGTAGGGCCAGACTATTACAATGTAATGGGAAAGTGTCATGGGGAGGATGGGGTTACACAGAAGGCCCTGTTTGCACATAAGGGGTGGTCAGTCTGTACTAGGGAAAGGCTTCTGAGGAATTAGCAATGTGCAGCTTTGTCAGAATAAGGGAGTGCAGGGGAGGAATGGTCTAGGCAGTCCAGATGGCATGGGCAAAAGCCCCAAGTGTAACTAAGAGGAGTTCCTTGTGACAAAAGAGCAGAGCTATGGCTGGAAGAGTCAGCAGGGTCAGATCAACAAAGGGCTTTGTATGGTGTTGAGGAGGGTGCACCCTCCAAGAGCACTGAGGAGCCATTGAAAGGTATCAGGAAAGGTCACAAGAAGATGAGCATTTAGGGTTCACATTCTAGGGTTGACATTGGGGTCGGGGAGAGCAACCCTGGAGAATGCAAGATCAACTTGTGGAGCCCTTGAGTAAATGGGCAAGAGATGGGTGTGGTCTGATGCAGGGGGTAGGGGACAGATCCCACAAATACGAAGGAGGTAGGGTGGGAAGGAACAATGACTGGCTGGACGCCAAGAGGAGAGGGAGGCTTTGGGCTAGAACAGCTGGGTGGAGAGTGCACCCTCACTGGAGAGTTGTAGGGCAGCGGGGTGTATTAGTCCGTTTCTGCTGCTTATAACAAAATACTTAAAACTGGGTGCTTTATAAGAAAATGACATTTAATGCTTACAGTTTCTGAGGCTGGGAAGTCCAAAGTCCATCTGGTGGTGGTGACAATGACCCAGGGGTCTCACACTGCAAGATGGTGAAAACAGAGAGAGCAGAGAGACTCTCCTCTTCTTTTAAAGCCCTCGGAACCATCCCCCTGACCACCATTTTTAATCCATTCACTATGGCATGGTCCTACAATCCAGTCACCTTGTCAAGGCTCCACCTTTCCATTACCATAATAGGATTTCCACCCTGTTAACAGTCACAGTGTGGGCTCAGTTTCTAATACATAAAGCTTTGGAGACACAATTCAAGCTTCAGTGAGTTTTGGGGGGACATAATTCAGTCTGCTACAGGGAGACTTGAGGGAGCTGTGATCAGAATGCTTGTGCCAAATTTGAGAGGCCTGTGAGATTGGTGGGCTCAGCTGCCCAGACAGACTGAGTCCTGAGCTCACTGGAGTCTGGAATTAGATGAGGACACCTAAGAAGCACCAGGACATAGGCCTCAAGAAGAGCACATTCGAGGGACAGGCAGAGTGCTGGGAGAAAGATGAAGGAACATGGAGTCTGTGCGAGACACATTTAACGAAGGAGGCATGGTGAAGAGTGACCAATGCTGTTGCCATGTGGGCAAGATAAGGGTGACAGGTTCCCATGAGGTTCATTATCAGGGGTGTTGCTGGGACTTTGAGGGCCCACACTGCAGTGGCCTGAAGTTAGGGAGGTGAGGACGAGAAAGGGGAAGTGGTAGAAAACCAGGCTTACTCTGTGGCAGACAGAGGTGAAATAGCTGGGTGGGAGCCTGCCTGTAAATGGTGGATGATGGGGCTCTGAGGACTGAAGGAAAGCCCCAGATTGGTGGCTGATATAAGATTGTGAATTATTTAGTTGTAAATAATAGAACATTAAATCTACAGTCCAGTGTGGTACCAGGTCAGTCCTGCCATAGGGAAAAAGCAGCTTATGATGTTCCTTATCCTCAAGGCTTCTACCCATTCCTTAAGCATTTGTCGAGCTCCTGCTTTGTATCAGGGGTACAATCCCACAAAGATGTGACCTAAAGAAATGCTGAAATGTTCCTAAGAGGTTGATGCAGATGAGCTTTGTCAGAGTCTCAAAGGGCTCCGGGAGTCACAGTTGTTTGAGGACCACATGGCAAAGCTCTGTCTTGCATCCACCAGCTCTGTGGGCACAGCAGGGACCTAACCTTTGTGAGCCTTTCTCTATAAAGACAGCTAATTCCACCTGCCTCCTATGGCACCGCAGTGCCTTGCACAGAGAAGAGGACCAACATGTGTCCATCCCTCTTCCTCACACTTCCTACTGTCCTGGGGTAGCCTGATGTCTTTAGTCTTGGAGATAAAGCGTGTCCAGGGCTAGTGTTTTCAATCTCTGACCCACTGAACATCCCACTGTGGCAGCCACCATTCCTGGTGTGTTCCTGAGAGAGATGGAACACAGATGTCATACTAGGGAAATGCTGGGAACTGTTGCTGACCCCTGAAGTGGGATTTATTCACTAGGAATAAATAATCTTCTAAAGTTAAGATTCTTTGCATAGGAAAGAAATGCCCTGTTAAGTACTATGAGCGATTAAAAATGGTAGCTTGAGAAGCTTCACATATCTATCTGCTCACGTAAATATTGTTTGTGCTGGTTAGCGTGGCTTGGGATCATCTGTGGTCTGGGCAGATTCCACGCACATGCAGGGGGGACAGGGACAGGCACAGGGGTCGAGGCGGAGTAAGCCCTGGGTGCTGCTGCTCCCTTGAGCTCAACACAAGTAGGAAAGCCACTGCCAGGCAGCACTGAGCTGCCTCTGCCTGCCCACTCAGGGACTGGGAGGGGAGGAAGCAGTCAGGTGCCCTGGGGAGGTCCAGGAAAGGGCTCTGAGTCTCAGAGTAGAAAAACTTTCTTGCGTTGTATGATAGTTAGCAGCTACACTTAAACATTTAAAAATTCAAGTTGCATTTAACTTGAAATTTTTGTCCAAACTTCAAAATTTTTATGTGAGATGGAATGAAGCATCCATTCCTGTCATTCCTCCCCACGGCGCATTTATAGAGGGCTGTGTCTGGAGGCTGGGCTGTGTATCAGTGGTATGTCCATTCTGAATGGGAAAGCTTGTGAATCATGCAGCTGTGACATTCTGTCTTGAAGCGTGAGTGCAGACCCTGCAAGAAAGGTGTGAGGTATAAAGGTTTTCTTTTTGTTTTGCTTTTTTTTTTTGTATGAGTCCTCAAATCCCCTTTAAATTAATGAGTTAATAATCCAATAAAGTGATATTACACATTATGATTCTAATTCAGTAGGTATTCAATTTCTGATAGCAGGTGTATGGACTCATTTCTTCTGTGCATCTATATCCAGGTTACTTGCAGCCTCGAGATCTGCCCAGCCAGGGCGTTCTCCCCTTTGTGCAAGGCCTTCTTTGTAACACTGGGTCAAGGTGCAGGAACTTCAGCTTTGCGGAGTCGATGGAGCACCATTTTGGGTAAGAGAAACACAAGCATCCTTTTCAGAATTCCTGGGAAGCTGGTTTGTAGAAGAGGTATCATGCTTTTAGTAAAGCCTCAAAAATTTTGGACAAGTCAGAGATGATGAAAAATACAGAATTTAGAATTACAAGAAAATCGGTTTTATTAAATTCAGATTCACATATTAATGGCTCCAACTAATGTTTAGCTTACAGCAGGAGTTCTTTTCACTGCTGTGTCAAGACTCACAGAGTAATTGCTGATTAACAAAGGCCATTTGCATGTCAGAGTTTGTTTTCTGCAGGTTAAATCTCTGATGTCTTCATACCACATTCTGAGAACGACAGTTTAGTAGTTGGCCAGCATCACAAAGCCTTTGACTTTGAGAACCAAGAACAAAATGCCTCACCGTGTTTTGCATGTTCTTATACCTCTCCCAAGGCAGAGGTATAAGAAATGCAAAATAAAATAGGGAAGGAAAATCGCAAGGACTGAGGAAAGAGCGGAAGGAATGAGGGGCAAAGAAGCATGAAGAAGTCCACTGTCAAGTTCCCCCTGATTTCAGACCTGGCCACTCGATCACACAGTTTTCACATTGATTCCACAGTATGAATACAGTTGAAACTCAAAGTGATAAAGATTCACTTCTGATTATTTTGCAGTAATTGTCTCAGTTTAAAAATACATGAAAACAAAAGTTTTCATTTGCAGTCTAAACGTTATTATGGTTAATTTAGTTAATGAATTTTCATGACCTTTATAACTCCCTGGGGACAGTGCACTTTGGTTAGAAATCCCAGGTATTGCCTGGTGTAGATTATGATTATGAAAATTGACTTCTGCATTCCAGCTTTGTTAGGGAGTGTCCCCATTTGCTCTAACAAAAGGATTTTAGAGCAAAAACATGAATCATTCGTGACAGCTGATTAGGAGGATATTCTCACAGTGTTAGGGATCATTTCTATTTTCTTTAAGGTAAAACAACATAAAAGCAAACTTAAAATGCTTTAGGATAGCACTAATGTGCTGTCTAAATCTGTCCTCACTTCCCCGTTCACTGTCAGTGATCTTCAAGAGGCTGATATCACCTGACCAGAACATTCTTCACTCTCAGTGGACTTATCACCAGGGCCTCATCCTCTCATCCTTTAGTCTTTTGTTCCCAGCTCCTTGGAATGCTCTCTTTACAACAATCGCCAGTTGTTTACTGCTAGTCTCATTTCGTGATCATCAATATAACCTTTATTTTTCTCATTCTCAAATATGCCCAGATCCCCCGAGGATCATCTGACCCTCTCTGCCTTGTTCTCAACCACTGCCTGCTTCTCCATCTTTTTTGATAATCCCCAGCTGCTGCTTCACTCTGACTTTTCAGTTTGTTTTTTCTCATCTGACCCTCTCTGCCTTGTTCTCAACCACTGCCTGCTTCTCCATCTTTTTTGATAATCTCCAGCTGCTGCTTCACTCTGACTTTTCAGTTTGTTTTTTCCTCTTCAGAGACTCTTAGAGTGTCTTCCAAGCATCGTATTCTCTATTTTATAATTATGTCTATCCCAGGGTTTCCCTTCCTTTCAAGTAGCCGAATCTTCTTCCACCGTCTAGAGCAGTCTTTGCCCAGAACAGCTGATAAATTGCTCCTTATAACTGGCAAGGCTTTTCTGACATGGAGAAGTACTGACATCAGAGAGAGAAGGAAGGATTCCTCTGTGCTTCTGGTCCCATTTCTGCACCTCAGGACCCTTCTACGATGATCAGTTCCTCCTCTCCTTTCCTTAGCATCTTCTAAGGCATCTGCAACCTTTCTCTTCTGTTGTCTCCATCCTCCTCACCTTCACATGGTCCAGGGTCTTCCTAGACTGTACACACAGGTCTCACGGTGGTCACTTACCTCCTTCTAACGACACATGTGGCCTCCACGCACTGTGAAAATACAGTTTCAGATGATCCCAGGGCTTTTTTTTTTCCCTGAGCTCCTTTCAGTAGCTTATTGAGATGTGACTCAGCAGGTGTGACTGAAGAATGAAAGGACGATCCCAGTGCTGAGCCGACAGGCCCCCTTCCTCACTCGGCCCTCTTTCTGCCTGTAACGCAGTCACCTGTCTACCTGTGAAGAGCATTTTGGGGCTGGGTCCCTAGACTGGAGTTTTCTCCATGCCCAGCCTAATCATGCTTCTTGGTGGACTATTGAGAACTTGGGAGATTATACGTGTTCTGCTGTTTTTTATTTATAAATTTCTTCCCCAGTAAAACTTATTTTTACATCATGTTTAGTATTTCAGTTTTGTTTAAGGAATTCTTCCCTGAGGTCATAAAGATAATTGTCTATATTATCTTCTTCAAGTATTATAATTTTTCCTTTCACATGTTGGTTCTGAATTCATCGAGGATTTGGGTCTGTGTATGGTGTAAGGTAATGATTGGATCGCATTTTTTTCCCTTCAGATGAGCAGTGTCAGTTCCATTTGTTCAACATTTAATCCACTTCCCGTTGATGTGCCATCCCACTGTGACACAAACCAAGTTATCATATGTGCTGCGTATATGTGCTTCTCCAATTTGTTCTAGAGGTCCATCAAGCCATCTTTTGAACTTTACTTTGCTGTCTGTCTTTCTATAGCTTCCTAATATCTTAATATCTGTAGAGCAAATATTCCTACTTTGCTCTTCTCCTTTAAGGAAGTCTTTTTTCTTCTGTATAGATTTTACAATTGTGTTGTCAAGGTTAAAAAAACCTATTGGGATTTTGCTTGGAGTTGCATTGAATCCTGCAATTGTGATGCGCCATTTAATTTACTTTGGTCTTCTTCAGTATCTTTCAATGTAGCTTTGCAATATTTTTCCATGAAGGTAATGCATATCTTTTGTTAAATATTTTCCTAGTTACTTAAAATTTTTTGTTGTTATTTCAAATGGTATCTTTTTAAAAATTACTCTTTGTCACTAATCATTACTTGTGTTATGAAAATATAATTATTTTAAAAATCAACTTTTTTTTTTTCCTTTTTGTCTTTTTTCGTGTCTGGCAATGGATCGCAACCCTCAGGGTCGTGCCCGTACCAGACCGGGACCGGCTACGGGATCGCAACCCTTGGTGTTGCGCCCGCACCTCACTCAGCCAGTGAGCAGGAACCGGTCT